CCTTCTCTTGCAGTCCCCTGACACGGTCGACGACATTCAGTTCGTTGACGATGGCTCCAGTAACCCAGGTGAGTGTCTGTTGGTCAGGGTCTAAAAAACCTCTTGACAACAACAGCAAGTGAGGTCCAGTGTCTCTGTTGGTAAATAGGGTACTTTAAGTAGGATTAAGCCCAAGGGTTGCAAAATTCCAGTAACTTTCCCAAAATGGCCAGGTTTTCCAGAAATCCTGGTTGGAGGATTCCCAGATGTCCTGCTTATTCCCTCCTGATACCTGAAAAAGTCCAACCTGGATCTGAAAAACATGGCAATTTTGGGGAAATTACCAGAATTCTGCAGACCTAGCCCATATAATGTACAATATGTTATCCTGATCACTTTTATCTCTTTGATTCAGGTGACTTCCTGGGATAAGCAACTCGTGTTGGTAGGATTCACACACTGCGTGTTTCAGTATGTGTGTGTGTGTGTGAGCACTTTGGCCTGAGTGTGTGTGTGAACTGCTGTGTGTTAATGAGTTGTGTACACATTCTCACTCTAACCCCCGTTAGTTAAGTGTGGAAAACCATAGTGTAGTAGGATGTTCTCTCACTCTCTATGTTCGCTCTCGCTCTCTCGCTCGCGCTCTCACAGCTTTTTAGAGTGGCAGGGCATGGTTTGTCCTGATATGGCTGTAGCCTTTGTAACAGTGTCTGTCATTGTGGTGGCTACAATTGTATCAGGGTAGGGGCGTGGGATGTTTTCCAACGTTGGGAGGGGTTTGCTTTACCATTGATGGCTTCTCCCGCTTACCATTCCTCAGGTGTAGCTAGGACCTTCAAACATGCTACAGTACTGTACATAATGTTTGGTGTGTTAAACTGACACTGCTGATCAAGATCCAGATCCTGTATTAACTCAAATTTACTAAACCAAAGACTTAAAGGGGAAGTTCAGTATTTTGCAACTTAATTTGAGATGGTTCCTCACCTTGAAAGTAGTCTATGGGCCAAGAGAAACTAATCCATGGTTCAGTTTTCTTTAAACAGCCACTACAACCTTAAGCAGACTTTAGCCACTGCTAGCTACTTTCAGGGCGAGGAACCATCTAACATTAAGTTGGTAAAATACTACACTTCCCCTTTAAGACATTGAGCGTCCAAGTATTTCTAATACATTTTCCTTCATTCAATCATTTCACATTTTGCTATTTCTACTTCCAAATGGGACTGGATGGTTTGGTTTGCAGCTGCTGATGTTGTTGGGCTAAGGCTTCCCTTGCAGGTTACTGGGTCTGTTCAGGACCAAGCCTCTCCTTTTCCCCCCTCAGCCCCCTGCCTATTAGGAACTGTATCGCTGGTGTTGCTGGGCAGATTAGCCACGCTTTCTCTCTCTAACCTCTCTCAAAGCAGAGCTTGCTCTTACTGGCCACAGCTCTGACATTGGGGAAAACTGTTGTCACTATGATTCACTGAAAGGTGAACCTAGGTTTAGTCTCCGGGGTGTCATGTTGATATTGGTTTCTCTGTGCCCGCTAGTGCCCGCTGAGGTGCCCACTGCCACCTCGGCGCTGGAGGAGATGGCCCTCTACAGCAACAAGCGCAAGCTGAGGCAGGGCCGCCGCAGCCTGGAGACCGCCGTGCCCACATAACACCTCGCACACACCTATCGCAGGAGACTCGGGTGTGACACACAGAGATGGCGCTGAGTCACTATACACTACACACACTCACAAATTTGGGAGATGCATCCCATGTAACCACTGCAGAGACTATGATGCTGATAATCAACAAACACACACACACCATGTCATATCCTGCGTGCCAGTCTTGCCTTGACAGTCTGAGGATGAGTTGGCATGAACACAAGGCCCAATGTTCCCGATGCCAGGGAGGAGGAGGAGGAGGGCCGGTGAGGCTAGCGTTACGCTTCAAAAAGTTTTCCTTTTTATTTGGGTTATTTTTCTTCAGTTTGCGTTTTAGAAGCTGAATTATATTAACAGGCGACTTATATGTTTTTATTTTTGCGCCTCTGATTTTTGCAGTTTTAAAAGAAAATGTGTTCTGGAAGAGAGAGGAAAAAAATATGAAATGTCTGGCTGTAATACTAACTTTTCAGATGCTATTTTGGAGGTTTTCAGTGAATAGATTGTGAAATGTCAGGGATTTTAGTGGGCTTCGGGGAGGGGGAGTGTATATATTGTAGGAGGGGGGAACATACTGCTACCTTCACTGCCACATGTGTGCAAGGCATTTTAAACACTACGTACATATCTCGACTGCACTGCCACACTGCTTAGAAAACATTTTTATATTTTTAAGTAATTTATTTTGCTTGTATTTTATTACTTCAATCCAAAGCCTCCCCTGTAATACATTGTTGTTAACCTCTGTACTTTTGAGTGCTACCAAACATTGGAGCGGTGCATAGCATTTTATTTATCATAATGACATCAATGCATATAATATCATATTAATTCAAATGTACTTTTAAATACCTTGCATTATTTATAAGGATCTTATGAGGCAAGCACATTTTTTTAATCCATCCTCAACCTGCTTTTTCTTTAACAATGAATACATTTGTTTTCACTTTGTTGATGCACCGGCCTAATCCAGGTTCTGACTGTAGCATGGTACATGTACAGGCTGTCACATACTCTTGTAGGGAAACTGATCCCAGTAAAGCTTGTGATATCAGTGGACCAGAGTAAAGGATCTCTAGCTGTCCTAGACCAGGTTTATCAGATTCTGTCAGATTCCCATTCTAGAGAATGTAACTACACTGGAGAGACCATCAGACATCCATATATTGACAGAAATCAGATAAGCCTGGAGTCGTAATTCAAAATGCCTATCAATTTGGGAACATAAACTCAGTTTCAGCTTCTTCTCCATTTACATTATATGGTACTTTCCCAGCCCTTTTTGGGGACATAATTTGTCAATGTGAATCTCTCATATCTTTCATATCTGGATGGTATTCCAGATTTGGCCGGTGAAGGTAGCAGGTGTTTGCTTATTTTTGTATCTGTCTTTTTATTAATTTAAATCTGACACCACTGAAAATCCTTTATTATTGTGTGAATAATGTACAAAATACTAAAAGGAAAGCAAAACTTAATGGTCGGAACTGAGCCAGTCTACCAAGCCACGACCAAGCGAGTGTCTGGACAGGCTCTGGACTGGGGAGCTCTCTCTCTCGCGCTCTCTCTTTCTGCATGTATATTGGCTTTAAATGTGAGAACATGTGGAGGCAGAAGACATTTTGTTAATCCATCTGGAAATGTATCTCATTCGACCATCATTCTCAATCTGTCTTTCCTCTGCTTTACCTGCTGCTGTCAGTGGATGTTATCTGATTGCAGAGAATCGCGTTTAATTTAATGTACTAATCAGAGCTTTCCGTGTTGCTCTCCCTGAATGAAATTCAGTTTGGTTGATAACATTTGCGAATGGCTGATCTTTTTTTTAAATTTACTGTAGTAGGTAAAACTTTCCAGACAATGGGATTCACTACATTTTTAAGGCAGAACAACTATTTGAACTTTTTTTGGTTACTCTCTTCTTGAATTCTCTTAGGGGGCTGTTGTTTTCCAAACGGGTCGGAGGGGAAGGGCAGAAGTGCTGGGGTCAAGGGTTAGAGCTCATCCAAGACTGTAACTAGTGAATTTGTACAACCAAAGAAGTCTATTTTGTCGTTCAGGAACAATAAAATTTACTTTTCATTTAACAAGCTGATTCATTGCATTGCCTTTGTATTTGTATTTGTAATCCGACACAACCTGCAGTGAACCTACTATTTCTCACGCAGTCAAGGGGCTTGATTAAATCCATAGCTTCTGCGTTGTAGCGCATTTGACGTTTAAAGGCAATGTTACCGCGTTCGCAGTCTGCATTCACGGTAAACGCTGCATATGGTCTGCTCAATCAGAAATTACCTTTAAAGCCAGGCACCACAGGCTGAAATTTAAAATGTGCATTACATTTTTGGTATATAAATGCATTTTACACACATTAGTATTTATGCACAATCTGCTCTGTAAGTATGGTCCTGGAGCGTCTTAACTAAATGAAACCAAAATATTTAGGCTGACTTCATCCAATGTGCAGAAAATAGCGGGATAAGCAAATATTAACATAGTTAATGAGAGTACCTAATTACCATATTTCCATACAGTTCAGAAATTGTTTTATACAAAAAAGCCACGTGTACATTCAACTTGTAAAAGTTGATTGCGATTTGATTAAGAGGGAAAACATATCGTATTAGGGTGTGGTGCCTTTCCTTAAATGTGAACCGCGCTACAATGCAGATCTTCTGTGGTATGGATTGAATCCAACATTATGGATATACTGACAAGATACGTCTCTCCGCCAAACAATGGGAGTCATTGTCCACAACGCAATTTTTTTGCTGACCAAATTCGACACTCATTGCTTGGTGGGTGAAATAAATAAAAAATGCCACCTGCTGAAGGGAGAGATTTTCCGCTGAGTTGGGCCTCTCCCTCTGATTTAAATCGAGCCCAAGGTTTCCTTATTCGATCTTGTTCTGAGGGCAGCACAAATGTGATTGGTTGAATGGTTAGAATCCAGGTGTGGTTAATGTCTTCTAATTAGCTAAATTATTAGTGGGCGGAGCCAATAGTAACAGGTGAGAGTCAAATGGGACAAATCTTGTGATGCGGCATGTTCCTAGTTTGATTGTTCAACTGTCTTTTTTCTTTCCTAACTGTTTTCTAGTTGAATAAACTAGCTTCATAAACTAGAATGCAACAGGTGAGACTAAACAGGAGAAAAGGCTGGACATGTGGCACAGGGTGTAATACGAGGGTTGCCATGCAGCAAGCCCTTGGTTGAAATCCTGGTGTGTATTTTAAGATTACTGCCATAGAAGTAAGCAATCACTTAATCACTAGTAGATCAAATTAAAAACAATGTTAGGTTGCCAGTGTGTCTTTATTCAGGACAACTACGAGGCAATAATTATTGGTGAAATGGATAGAGTCAAGCAGTTCTCCTTCAGATGACGGAGAGAATGGCAGGCAGTTTGGTTCTCCCAGAGCCCCTGGGTGTAGTTTTCTGGACTGGCGCCTGAGACATGGCCTTGCTGTAGTTCCTCTGTACAGATAGGAGACCAGAGGGCAAACAGAACACATTCATTTACTCTCTGGACGCTTCCCAAATTCCTTTATAGTGCACTGCTTTTGACCAGGGCTCTGGTCAAAAGGAGTGCAGGCAATAAGGGTGCCATTTGGGATGAACCCTCTTTGTGGGTGGGGTAACTCACAGGCTTCTAGTGTGTGTGAGACAAAACTGCTATAGTAGTACTGTATGGCTATACTGTTATATTGGTCTGTGTGCGAGTGAGTGACACTGTTACTCATTCATTACCCACAATGAGAGTGTGTGTTTGTGTGTGCGAGACCGACCCTCTGTACAGTCCTGTTCTGAGCATTGTAGAAGGAGATGGCACTGGGACTGTCTGCTAGCAGCTCATAGCGCAGACGCTCAAAGTGCTCCTGCTCATCCTCCTCCTGAGGACAAAACACCATAAGATATTAAGATTGACATTGTAACCATGAAATATCAATGACTTCTCTCCTGTTAAAACCACGGTTGTGTCCCAAATGGCACCCTATTCCCTATATAGAGCAATACTTTCGACCAGAGCCCTATGGGCTGGTCAGACTCACCAGTGCAAGTGCCTTGTACACAGGTACCAGTCCAGGCCTGATGGGTGCTCCAGATCTCAGCATGGCCTGCACCTCCTCAGGAAGCAGGAAAGACTCATTGTACCAGCTCTCAAACTCTGACACACACAAGAGACATGCTGTCAATGTGGGGCCATCACCCTGTGGCTTTCTGAGAGGTACAGCCGGTCCCAAATCCCTGCCTGCCTCTTCCCCTTGGCCCCTTTTCTCCCCTGCAGATTTGTAAGGCAGAAGCAATATATGGTGGAAACTCCACCACTGCACTGCTTAAATCTATCCAGCCCATACAGATCTGAAACGTTGAGGGGTCAGGGGGCCAAGGGGGAGGAGGGGTAGGTAGCATTTTGGGACCAGCTGGTAGAGTCCTCTTGGTTCATAATAACTTTGTCTCTGTCTATTCAGAATCAGTCATGGAACAACTGTCTTCTCCCATGATACAAGATTACAGTCAGTGTGGAGAACGGAAGTAGTGGGTGTGATGCCAGAGTTTGAATGCTCACCGGTCAGTAGGCGCGTCCTGCATTGGTCCACTAGGTGCTGGCAGTAGCTGACCTCTGCCTTGGTGCCGCACAGCTCCTCGTACTGCTGCCGGTACTGAGTCTTCAACTCCCTCAGACGCAGGACCAGAGACAGCTCTGCCTCGTCCAGCACTGGAACCCCTTCCGCACTTACAAACTGACCTAGGGGGAGACACACACACACAAGATACAAATATAGCTACAGCAATCAAATGAATTGACCTTTTTTCTGATTGGCATGTGTTTCCAATGATCAACTACTTTACTGCCAATGGCGTGTGAGCTTCCATAGTAAATTCTAGCCCCTTCATCCTTAAGAGTCTATTGACTCGTGCGTCAATCTAAGTAACATAATACAAAAATCCCCATCAAAATCCGTCAGTTTAAGCTAGATATATCCTTCCGCATCTGCGGTGGAAGGTGGCCGAGCTGCAGCAGTGTTTGTCAGACCATGAAACATCCCGAAAATTGATCTTCTCACGGTTTGGCCTACTTTCCACTGTGGAAAGGGGAGCCTCTCACCAACACGACCCACACAAACGAATGGAAGTATGGAGGTAGTTTTGTGCCAACAAAAATAAGGGGTTAGATATAAGACAGACACTTCAAAACCTTATTCCTTATGATTTATTTTTTGACTGTCTTTTTTGCCATTTATGAATGTGTTTCTATGGGCTATAGTAGTAAAAAACCACCAATGTTTCGACATCACTGTGCCTTCTTCAGGATCCTAAAATTCAAAATCAATAGCTAAATGATCCATGGTATGACCATCTTAAAACAATTCCATGTGTTAGCTTAGTAGATCCCCCCCAGTCATCTCTACTTTGGCAAAATGTTAAATGTTCACGTCAAACCACACCACATTTTGGAGTGTATACCACCGTTACATTTTTCATGCGGCTGACAGGTGATAATGATAAATTATGGCGTAATAGCTTACAGTTGTTTTACTGGACTGTACCGGCTTACGTTCACCCCTGTTTGTATTTGAGTATTTCCAAAAGTACATGCCTATACTTTCCAAGTGTATTTCCAAATACATTCTAATATTCAAGTATTTTTGTGTGTGTGTGTGTATATATATATATATATATACACACACACACAGTAGCAGTCAAAAGTTTGGACACACCTACTCATTCAAGGGTTTCTCTTTATTTTTACTATTTTCTACATTGTAGAATAATAGTGAAGACATCAAAACTATGAAATAACACATATGGAATCATGTAGAAACCAAAAAAAAAGTGTTAAACAAATCAAAATATATTTTATATTTGAGATTCTTCAAAGTAGCCACCCTTTGCCTTGATGACAGCTTTGCACACTCTTGGCATTCTCTCAACTAGCTTCATGAGGTAGTCACCTGGAATGCATTTCAATTAACAGGTGTGCCTTGTTAAAAGTTAATTTGTGTAATTTCTTTCCTTCTTAATGCATTTGAGACAATCAGTTGTGTTGTGACAAGGTAGTGGTGGTATTCAGAAGATGGCCTTTTACCAAATAGGCTAAGTCCATATTATGGCAAGAACAGCACAAATAAGCAAAGAGAAACGACAGTCCATCATTACTTTAAGACATGAAGGTCAGTCAATCCGAACATTTCAAGAACTTTGAAAGATTCTTCAACTGCAGTCGCAAAAACCATCAAGCGCTATGATGAAACTGACTCTCATGAGGACCGCCACAGGAAAGGAAGACCCAGAGTTACCTCTGCTGCAGAGGATAAGTTCATTAGAGTTAACTGCACCTCAGAAAGCAGCCCAAATAAATGCTTCACAGAGTTCAAGTAACAGACACATCTCAACATCAACTGTTCAGAGGAGACTGCGTGAGGGATATGGAGAGACATGAGTCTTTCACTTATGCCGACAGGTGTTTCGGTGAGGCTGGGTAAGAGGCTGTTATTAATTGCCAGTCCCACACCGTGCTGATGTTGTCCACCCAGAGGGTAACCTTTCCAGAAGAAGGTGTAGCCTTCTCCCTCCTCTTTCAGGGAACCTTCATCCAGGAACCTGGTCTCACTCAGGGCAGCAATGTCAATGTTGTAGCACCTTAGTTCTGCAGCAATCAGAGCTGTTCTCCGATGGGGTCTATCGTTATTGTCGTCAGTGTCCAAAAGAGTTCTGTCAGAGAGCGTGTCAGTATGACAGAAACGCCCCTCTTTACCAGAGTGCATAAAAGATTGAGATAAGAATTATCAGACTAGACGGACCTCAAGCTGCAGCTTTTGTCCATATTGGTCCGGACCCTGAAATCAACATGAGGTGAAGACGACAAAGTTGCCTCCACTAATAATCAATGTTACGGCTGAGTAGCTGTTCTAATTACTGTATCTAAGAAGGTGAATTTAAGTGGGACCATCCTGTAACTCTCTTCAAGCCATCGTCTACTACACTGCTCTCATCCCCCCACAGGGGATCATCGACAAGGACAAGTCCTCAGAAGACCACTTCCAGAACAAGTGAAAGTAAACAGACTCCCGAGTGGCGCAGTGGTCTAAGGCAGTGCTAGCTGTGCCACTAGAGATCCTGGTTCGAGTCCAGGCTCTGTCGCAGCCGGCCGCAACCGGGAGACCCATGGGCGGCGCACAATTGGTCCAGCGTCGTCCAAGGTAGGGGAGGGTTTGGCCGACAGGGATGTGGGTTCGTTTCCCACGGGGGGCCAGTATGAAGAAAAACAAACAAACAAACAAACAAAAAAAAAGGATGCATTCACTAACTGTAAGTCGCTCTGGATAAGAGCGTCTGCTAAATGACTAAAATGTAAATGTAAATGTAACTAAGAAGAAGGACATTGTGACCTCTTGTGGACAACCTGAGCCTTACATCTAAAAGGCCATCTGAAAGAGAAGGCCCTATCGACCCCTTCCCACGAAGGCCTGGGTCCAACAGAGATACAGTGGGGGAAAAAAGTATTTAGTCAGCCACCAATTGTGCAAGTTCTCCCACTTAAAAAGATGAGAGAGGCCTGTAATTTTCATCATAGGTACACGTCAACTATGACGGACAAATTGAGAAGAAAAAAAATCCAGAAAATCACATTGTAGGATTTTTTATGAATGTATTTGCAAATTATGGTGGAAAATAAGTATTTGGTCACCTACAAACAAGCAAGATTTCTGGCTCTCACAGACCTGTAACTTCTTATTTAAGAGGCTCCTCTGTCCTCCACTCGTTACCTGTATTAATGGCACCTGTTTGAACTTGTTATCAGTATAAAATACACCTGTCCACAACCTCAAACAGTCACACTCCAAACTCCACTATGGCCAAGACCAAAGAGCTGTCAAAGGACACCAGAAACAAAATTGTAGACCTGCACCAGGCTGGGAAGACTGAATCTGCTGTAGGTAAGCAGCTTGGTTTGAAGAAATCAACTGTGGGAGCAATTATTAGGAAATGGAAGACAAACAAGACCACTGATAATATCCCTCGATCTGGGGCTCCACGCAAGATCTCACCCCGTGGGGTCAAAATGATCACAAGAACGGTGAGCAAAAATCCCAGAACCACACGGGGGGACCTAGTGAATGACCTGCAGAGAGCTGGGACCAAAGTAACAAAGCCTACCATCAGTAACACACTACGCCGCCAGGGACTCAAATCCTGCAGTGCCAGACGTGTCCCCATGCTTAAGCCAGTACATGTCCAGGCCCGTCTGAAGTTTGCTAGAGTTCAGAAGAGGATTGGGAGAATGTCATATGGTCAGATGAAACCAAAATAGAACTTTTTGGTAAAAACTCAACTCGTCGTGTTTGGAGGACAAAGAATGCTGAGTTGCATCCAAAGAACACCATACCTACTGTGAAGCATGGGGGTGGAAACATCATGCTTTGGGGCTGTTTTTCTGCAAAGGGACCAGGACGACTGATCCGTGTAAAAGAAAGAATGAATGGGGCCATGTATCGTGAGATTTTGAGTGAAAACCTCCTTCCATCAGCAAGGGCATTGAAGATGAAACGTGGCTGGGTCTTTCAGCATGACAATGATCCCAAACACACCGCCCGGGCAACGAAGGAGTGGCTTGGTAAGAAGCATTTCAAGGTCCTGGAGTGGCCTAGCCAGTCTCCAGATCTCAACCCCATAGAAAATCTTTGGAGGGAGTTGAAAGCCCCAAAACATCACTGCTCTAGAGGAGATCTGCATGGAGGAATGGGCCAAAATACCAGCAACAGTGTGTGAAAACCTTGTGAAGACTTACAGAAAACGTTTGACCTGTGTCATTGCCAACAAAGGGTATATAACAAAGTATTGAGAAACTTTTGTTATTGACCAAATACTTATTTTCCACCATCATTTGCAAATAAATTCATTAAAAATCCTACAATGTGATTTTCTGGAGAAAAAAAAATCTCAATTTGTCTGTCATAGTTGACGTGTACCTATGATGAAAATTACAGGCCTCTCTCATCTTTTTAAGTGGGAGAACTTGCACAATTGGTGGCTGACTAAATACTTTTTTTCCCCACTGTACACGACGAAGACCTCTAACACGTAAATACATGCACTGCTTTTTTTCCCCAAACGGGCGGCAGTTCCGGGCAAAGTATTAGGATTACTGTGAGCGTAGGTCCATGTGTATCCAACTGTTCTCTCTCTCTCTCTTTAACTCGCCATCTTTTGTAACAAGTGTCATATTGTGTTAGTCCGCTAGGGACCCGTTTTCATTGTATTAAGTTTCTAATCCCTACCTATACCATCTACGTGTTTGTATCTTGTGTTATCATTTTTAATTAGGTAGTAAATAAATAATTAAATCAATGTGTGTGGTAAGGAATGATCAGTAAGACCCGGGTTCGTGCAGACTTAAAGCGTCTACGACTTTCAGAATGAGATTGATATGAGGTCAATTATGAATAAATGACTATTAAATGATAAGAGATATCTAGATAGCTTTAGAGTTAATTCGGTAAACGGTAACTCGTTAAACAACTTTTCCCGTGGTGCCCCAAATTCCTAATGAGTTAATTGTTACATGATTAATTTAATCTAGTAACAATTAAACGTAGTAGGTAATTATTCGATAAATAATAGTCATCACAATAATGAAAGTCACGTCAGGACAGCTATAAGCGGAAACGTTCCAATAGCGGGAAAACACCATTATCAAAAGTGACCTCAAATGCGATTATGCATGTAATACTTTTATTATAAAGGTGCATTTTTATGGTGAAGATTATCTTCCCCATACATGAAACCCACGCGCTGCTTAGTATGCCAGTTAGGCTCTAAACCCTTTAAGCTTTTAATGTGCTTAATTAAAGATTTTTTTGGCCACCTTTCAAATGCGATTACATGTAGATACTGTTATTATATGCATTTTATGGTGAAAATTATCAAGAGATCTAGACTAGTTGAGTTAATTCGGTAGAACGTACTGTTCCCACACTGTTCCATTCCTCTGTTCGCCCCAAACCCTACTGCAGACTGTGTTTTCAATTAATTGAATCTAGAAACAACTAAACCTGAGTAGGTAATATCGGAACTAACGTGTGCATCACTTGAAAGTCCGTCCGTGCGCTATCAAGTTCAAACGTTTCCTGCGGATGAAACCCACTGTCAAACTGTGAACCTCAAATCGATATGAAAGTAATAGTTATTATTATAAATTGCATGCTTTATGTGAAGATTATTTACCGCCATACTGATAACTCCACCGGCCAGAGCAAAGAGGCTCTAACCCTCTGTTCCTCATGTTTTTCCTAGTTATGCTTTCAAAGAGTTTTTGGCCCTAGGTGTTTACAACCTGCAAAACATAAGGCTATGGGTTTAGGCTTTCTGAAGCCTTGCGAATATTAGTGATGAAAAGCGCTATATAAAATAAAATTGATTGATTGATTGATTGATTGATAGGCTAATATTGTCACCTATCAGACTATTCTTGATTTAATCTTGTCTTTACATATACTAAATAATATGTGTGAAACAGGGGCAGCGGGAAAAAATACATGTAATCTATGCACTTAAATAGCGGATGGAGGAAGCTTTTCCCGTGGTTCATCTTCATGCCAGCCAGGTAGGCTATACTCTTGTTGTAAAGATAAGGAATGTGCTTAATATTAGGAAAGTTTAGAAATAAATATAGTAGGCCTAACCTATAGAAAGCTGATCCTCTTCTATTTAGTAGAGGCCATCACTCTGTTTTCGCACGCAATTGCATAGCCTATAGAAATGTTGCGCAACATGAGCTCATGAGCTCTCATGAAGTGTTTGATTCGATTTTCGAAGACATTTGCATTGATGTCAGTGAGATTAGAGGGACAATAGAGTGCTGAGTACCAGGCGGTTAGCAAGTTTGGTAGGCTACTAATGACCAGCAGCAGCATCAGACCTTGGAGAAGCCTAATTACTGTGACTAAACGGTCACGTGGAATTTGACTGCTTTCATGACTCGTGACCGCCGGTGTGGCGGTAATACAGTCACCGCAACAGCCCTAGGTGTGACACACCTACACACACAGTTTTGAGCTCCCATACCCTGGCTCTGTCTCTTGTCTCTCCACTGGCGCAGGGCGGTGCTGGTGCTGTCAATCTCTCTCTTGGCCGTGTTCACACCCTCTGTCAGCTCCCGGAGGCGGGCGCGGCGCTCCAGCAGCACCAACTTGTTCTCCTTCAGGATGCGGTTGATCTCGCTGCCCCGCTCTGCCTTGAAGTCCTCAAAGGCCTCTGCCTTAGGGGGAGGGGAGCTGGAGGGGAGAAACACTGGATCAGACATGTTGGCCCTGTGCATAGAATAACATATGTAATATGCAAGACAGATGTTGTATAAAGGGACATAGGTGTGTGTATACTCAGGCCTAAGGGGTTCCTGTGGTCCTTGAGGCTCCTGGCTCTGTGGGTCATGCTCGCGGCCCTCACGGTCTCTTTGGACCGGGTTCACAGATTCCACTGGCTTCCCTGGACCAGGACTCCTTCCTTCCACAGCCTCCTTCCTCCCCTGGCTGGACAGTCACAGTTGGGGGGTTACATTAAAAGATGGTCTTGACATTGGCTTTCAAAGAGAAGGGAGGGATTTGACAGCGATGTTACTGAGGCAGCATTAATGGACTGTCCTCAGGAGTCAGGACACTGACCTTGCTAGCTCTTTAGTCTTAATGGATTTGGTCCTGCCTGGAGACAGGGGCCGAATGTGCCTCTCTGATGGAGCCGCCACCCCCACCCCAAACCCATGGCCCTCCACCATGCCCACCGTGCCTTGGGAGCCCCGTGACTATGGCACAATGTAACAACAGAATTAGTTTAAAAACTGTATGAACAACTTTTGAGCCTTGCGGCTAAATCAACGTTACGGAAAATGAGAACAGGTTTGCAATTGACCCTCCTGCTTAAACAATATAAACAAATTCACCACTGACATATGCAAGAGGTTTGAAGCAGCACCATCTTGGTGGCCACTGGTCCAGGCATCAGGCAGGGACTGACCTTGGCTGCAGTGGAGGCAGCTGTACTCTGGGCTTTCTCCACCAGGGTGTAGTTCTGACACAGCTGGGCCTTCACCTTCTGCTCCTGCTGCCTGTTCAACACACAACACTTAACACATATGCTAAACTGACCTCAACACCCATAACATAAACTGATCTTATCATTGGTTGCCTGGTGAGCGTTACTCATGCTGGCAAAGATCTAGTATTAGCTTAATCTCCCCAATCCTGACCTTTATTTTATTTAACTTTATTTAACCAGGTAAGCCAGTTGAGAACAAGTTCTCATTTACAACTGCGACCTGGCCAAGATAAAGCAAAGCAGTGCGATAAAAACAACACAGAGTTACATATGGGGTAAAAAAACAAAGTCAAAAAATACAACAGAAAATATATATACAGTGTGTGCAAATGTAGCAAGTTATGGAGGTAAGGCAATAAATAGGCTATAGTGCAAAATAATTACAATTAGTATTAACACTGGAATGATAGATGTGCAAGAGATTATGTGCAAATAGAGATACTGGGGTGCAAAAGAGCAAAATAAATAACAATATAGGGATGAGGTAGTTGGGTGGGCTAATTTCAGATGGGCTGTGTACAGGTGCAGTAATAATAATAAATAATAATAATTGGTCATTTAGCAGACGCTCTTATCCAGAGCGACTTACAGGAGCAATTAGGGTTAAGTGCCTTGCTCAAGGGCACATCGACAGATTTTTCACCTAGTCGGCTCGGGGATTAGAACCAGCGACCTTTCGGTTACTGGCACAACGCTCTTCACCACTAAGCTACCTGCCGCAGTGATCGGTAAGGTGCTCTGACAACTGATGCTTAAAGTTAGTGAGGGAGATAAGAGTCTCCAGCTTCAGAGATTTTTGCAATTCGTTCCAGTCATTGGCAGCAGAGAACTGGAAGGAATGGCGGCCAAAGGAGGTGTTGGCTTTGGGGATGACCAGTGAGATATACCTGCTGGAGCGCAGACTACGGGTGGGTGCTGCTATGGTGACCAATGAGCTAAGATAAGGCGGGGATTTGCCTAGCAGTGATAACCATTAGTGGGAAATATGTCAAATTGTCCTTAGATCAGCATCTAGGGGTAACTTCAACCAACTCAATTACTCACTGCATAGCCTGCTTGAACTGGGCAAACACTTCCTGGATCTGCCTGATGCTCACAATCTGTGGAGAGAAGTCAGACATGGGGGAGATAAAACAGTATGAAATCACCCATGCAAGAAGTTAGCTCTATGACATTGCATTGATTCATCGACACTCCCTCCACTACTGCCTTTCTGAACTGCCTCAGCACCCTATCAACTGTAGAAGATCATCGTCTAAGTCAAGACATGCCACTGCCAGAACCCTAAACAGAGGGATACAATTTTAGTGCCTTATAACCATATGTGGTGTGGCCATCTCCGCCATGTTACCTACAGTGGAAGTCGGAAGTTTACATACACCTTAGCCAAATACATTTAAACTCAGTTTTCACAATTCCTGACATTTAATCCTAGTAAAAATTCCCTGTCTCAGGTCAGTTAGGATCACCACTTTATTTTAAGAATGTGAAATGTCAGAATAATAGTAGAGAGAATTATTTATTTCAGCTTTGATTTCTTTCATCACGTTCCCAGTGGGTCAGAAGTTTACATACACTCAATTAGTATTTGGTAGCATTGCCTTTAAATTGTTTAACTTGGGTCAAATGTTTCGGGTAGCCTTCCACAAGCTTCCCACAATAAGTTGGGTGAATATTGGCCCATTCCTCCTGACAGAGCTGGTGTAACTGAGTCAGGTTTGTAGGCCTCCTTGCTTGCACATGTTTTTTCAGTTCTGCCCACACATTTTCTATTGGATTGAGGTCAGGGCTTTGTGATGGCCACTCCAATACCTTGACTTTGTTGTCCTTAAGCCATTTTTCCACAACTTTGAAAGTATGCTTGGGGTCATTGTCCATTTGGAAGACCCATTTGCGACCAAGCTTTAACTTCCTGTCTTGAGATGTTGCTTCAATATATCCACATAATTGATGCCATCTATTTTGTGAAGTGCACCAGTCCCTCCTGCAGCAAAGCACCCCCACAGCATGATGCTGCCACCCCCGTGCTTCACAGTTGGGATGGTGTTCTTCGGCTTGCAAGCAACCACCTTTTTCCTCCAAACATAACGATGGTCATTATGGCCAAACAGTTCTATTTTTGTTTCATCAGACCAAAGGATATTTCTCCAAAAAGTATGATTTTTGTCCCCATGTGCAGTTGCAAACCGTAGTCTGGCTTTTTTATGGTGGTTTTGGAGCAGTGGCTTCTTCCTTGCTGAGCGGCCTTTCAGGTTATGTCGATATAGGACTTGTTTTACTGTGGACATAGATACTTTTGTACCTGTTTCCTCCAGCATCTTCACAAGGTCCTTTGCTGTTATTCTGGGATTGATTTTTTTGCACCAAAGTACGTTCATCTCTAGGAGACAGAATGCGTCTCCTTCCTGAGTGTTGTGACGGCTGCGTGGTCCCATGGTGTTTATACTTGCTTACTATTGTTTGTACAGATGAATGTGGTACCTTCAGGCGTTTGGATATTGCTCCCAAGGATGAACCAGACTTGTGGAGGTCTAACATTTTTTTTCTGAGGTCTTGCCTGATTTCTTTTGATTTTCCCATGATGTCAAGCAAAGAGGCACTGAGTTTGAAGGTAGGCCTTGACATACATCCACAGGTACACCTCCAATTGACTCAAAGTATGTCAATTAGCCTATCAGAAGCTTCTAAAGCCATGACATCATTTTCTGGAATTTTCCAAGCTGTTTAAAGCCACAGTCAACTTAGTGTATGTAAACTTCTGACCCACTGGAATTGTGATACAGTGAATTATAAGTGAAATAATCTGTCTGTAAACAATTGTTGGAAAAATTACTTGTGTCATGCACAAAATAGATGTCCTAAATGACTTGCCAAAACTATAGTTTGTTAACAAGAAATGTGTGGAGTGGTTGAAAAACAATTTTTAATGACTCCAACCTAAGTGTATGTAAACTTCCGACTTTGACTGTATGTGACCCACTTGTTGTGTGTATGTACTGACATGTATGTGTAACTGATAGATACACACACACACACTACATCTTAGTGTTAAATATATGTAAATTGTAAAGTATTTTGTCTCTAATGTATTTTTTGTTATGTGTCGGACCCCAGTAAGACTAGCTGTCGCCATTGGCGGGGATCCTAGTAAATCAAATAAAAAATCCATCTCTCTACTCATAGAGAATGTTAGTCTCAGGGGGTTCTCACATTGATCTCGTCCAGGCTGCCCTCCAGATACCTCTGCACCTGACTCTGGATCTCTGCAACCTGGGTCTCTGACAGCGTGTCGTAGGACATGCCCATGCGGTTAGCCTGCACACCAGCACACAATCACATACTCCGGTCGTATTCTCTAGTAAAACCATAGCCTGGGTCTAAGACCGGTTTGTGTTGTCTCAACAAACAAATCTGGGACTCAGGCTAGTAAAAACCAAGCAATACTTAATACTTCAACATTGAACTCTTCTTTCCTTCCTTCCTTGAGGTTACTCACCAGTGTGTTGTGAATGCACAGCTCCTGTTTCAACAGCTGGATCTCCTTCTCCAGCTTCCTGACCTGGAGCTGCACAAAACAACACACATCCAATCAGACCTGGAGCTGCACAAAACAACACACACATCCAATCAGATACCATTCAACCCTGGCTAATCACTGCACAGGTCTTGCCCCATAACAATACAGTTATCAATACAATGCCAGTCCTTCAGTTACTGCAATGCTGTTCATCTGTAGGGAGTGTTATCGTCAAGGTATAACCTTTACAGAAACAATCCTACAGGATTCCTTCAAGGTAAAAATGGTATTTGAAACAGGTTTTCAAAGGAATATAATCAATGGACAAAACAGTCAATATGATATAGAGTTATAGTAATGAATACGCTTTCATAATCCAAATGTGTTCTGGTGTGTGAAGTTGAGATATAATAATCTCACCACAGGGTCAGTGTGTTCGTTGACGGCAGGGTCCATCTGTACACACTTCATCCTGCTGGCGAAGCGCAGTGTGGACAGCTACAGTAGAGACAGAGCAGATCACACATCACAGGTCTCTACTTTACCATAGGAAACTACACTTAACTAGGACTACAGGAAGAAGCAGTTCTCACATAGCTCCATACTTACTGTCTCTTCTATCTGAGAAGCCTCTCCATAGATGTTGGCCACCAGCACTGTGTTGCAGTTCCCACCTATAGAGAGGAGAGCGGATTATATTGATCTTATGACTACCACTCCCAGACAGTCCCAAAAATTGCTCTTGCTAAGAATCTGTCTGTGTTTTATTTTGACCATTTTGAATGAAAACAATCACAGTAAAGTACTTAATTGTTACCCAGAAATAATTTGATATTGAGATAAAAATGGCTGCATTGGACCTTTAAATGACTTGGACCACAAATTGATAACTTGACCAGGGTTGGTGACCATTTCTCTTGTCTCTGTATTGATTTGGCTTTGGTGGATGTGGTACCAATGTCCTCAGCCAACACTCAAAAACTATTGAACCCTTTGACAGAGACAGTATTTCCTTCTGGTACTGATCTCCTAACCCCCAGACTCTGTGGGTTTGGCTCACCTAATGAGTCCTTGAGGGCGTGGGTGAGTTTGGTCTGTCTGAAGGGGACGTGGTCCCTGCGTCGGTCTGCCAGGGCCAGGATGGCCTGCTCCAGGAACAACAGGGACTTGTTGATGTACATGGCCTCCTTCAGCACCTGGCCCTCAGACTGGTCACAGAGAGGAGAACACAGTTGGACATGGGGGTTAGCGCTAAGAACTGTCAGGAACTGGTGGCTTTTGTCTTGAAAACTTGAAATCTACTCATTGCAATACAATACATAGACTGTAAAAATTACACTATATGAGAAAAAGTCAGGTATGAGGACACTTTGAAACTCACTCCGGTTTTGCCCAGCCTTTCTGACCCGGCTAAGTCCACCAGATTCAGCTTGGAAGTGACATACTTTGCATCAGACAGAGTACGGGAGCGAGACTGTAAAACACAAATTGATAACATAAATTGACACATTACAGAACTATAGAATGGCTGCCACACAGTACACATTGCAATATACTGTGTTTTTATACATTTACATTTACGTCATTTAGCAGACGCTCTTATACAAGACAACATTATACAATACTGTCCATTAATGAGGCTGGTGAAAATGCAGTAAAGCAGTGAGGTGTGTCTAAGCCATCCTTACCTCAATGTGGACAGTGAGAATGCAGTGAGATCTGGAGGAGTTCTTGTTCAGGGCATGAGCTCCGATGATGCGATGCATCTCTCCCTGAATGTAGCGCAAAGAAGACCCTTCGTCACACAAATATCCATCACCTGTCCAGATGTACAACACTTCAGATGCACAACATATATTTACATACAGGTATTTAACACTCACCTCAAAGAGCAGGTTAAGGGCCTCCTCCTCGCTGTGGACGGGGTGCAGGGACAGCCCCCTGACTGATACCCCTCCCCCTGCCTCCTCCACCACCACCATGCCCCCTGGCCCTACCCTTGGGCAACCCCGTACAGATGCCAGCAGATCCACCAGAGTCTCATTGTAGATCTCCAGGAAGGACAAGTGGACACTGAAGGCGTGGTCCAAACGCTGCTCCACCTCATGGAACACCTGATCAGAGACCAGGGAGAGAAGAACAGAAAATGTGTGTGGAGACTGAGAGCCATTCAGAAAATGTGTGTGGAGACTGAGAGCCATTCACTTTGGTGCATTAGACTAGGGCAGGGAAAACAACTGGTAGCCAATGTAATCCAGGGTTGAATGACTTCTAGTGCGCCAGGTGACGTAAATTGTCGGTAAGTGTCGGGTGATGTAAATTGTCCTGGTCTACCTCCTGTAGGGCCCGAGGAATGATCCCTCTCTGTTTGTAACTCTCTGTGGCTCCAGTCATGGTGTACGTCTTTCCTGCCCCCGTCTGCCCAAAACACATCACAGTGCCTAAGAGAAAAACAAGCAAGATTTGGGGGGAAAGGTTTCACCTCAGGTTTTTGGTTGCATGGAAGAACTAACTACCTAGCCTGTTTACCCACCTGACTGTTTCTACATTCAACATGAGCTACATTCTTGCATTGCCATTGGCTTTGAGCAGAATCAGACTGGTATACAAGCAAATTATGACCATGGTAGTGTAAAACATGGGGACAGAGTTAGCCTACCGTTGTACCCCTCCAGGGCTCCCAGCACCACCCCTCGCCCAACGCGGCCATATACCTCCTCCTGGGACACATCATGCAGCACCCCGTCCAGCCGGAACGACCAGGAGCTCAGCTGGTTGTTCACCACTCCCTTCCTGGAGTCCTTCCTCTGGTGGACACTCACTGTCTGAGAGAAGATCATCACACAGATAGCCATGTTGAAGCAATTATAAGAATCTGCTCATCAGCTCCTTCAACAAACTAACCTGTTTAGGGTTAATGATGTGGTTTGAGATCAATATGATATCATATGTCTCATTTATGCATATTGCTGTGCTATTTTAAATGAAATACAGAATCTGTAATTTCAACAACCTATAACCTAAACCTTGCCACATTGTATGGTAAGATTCGTTAAGTTACTCACCACTCTCAAATTCAGAGTTTAAAATGTCACGTTTACATAATGCAAATGACATTGGGTGGGAAACTGCAGCATTACACTGTAAAACATACCTGTCTGTCAGGTAGGTATTGAATGAGCTCTTGAGCAAAATTTGCAGTCGGTCGGCTTCGAATAAACACCCTCACTTCACTGCCGACATGGGCAATCATCATGGCATTTCTAGAACGATAAAAACAGGTCCAAAGCAAAAGTAATGCATGTTGTGGACCACATAGCTAAGTTAGCTAGCTACTGTTAGCTAGCAACTTAAGAACTTTGGCAAAAACATATTTACTTACCCGTATTTTTTGCTAATTTGTAAACATCAAACGTGTTTTTCTAGCTAGTAAATTAATCAGCTGTTTAGTGGCTTGTATCCACGAAATCAAAATGTTCCCATATGTTGACGTCTATTGTCATGGAAACGGTGGGCGTGTTTGTGGGATCCTGCGTGGGAGACACATAAAATGAATGAGTAGAATAGTCCGGGCCTGAGCGTCAAAATATTAAACGTGTCAACTCCAGTACCTGGAATTTGCACAAATTCAAGTTTTCTAGATTCAAATCCATTTAATTACAAATATGTTTTTTTTCTTCAATTACACTTCAGACAGTCGAAATTCCAATTCCATTCCAAAAAGGATGGTTTTCTTTTTTAATTCCAATTAAATTCTAATTCAGATAGTATACATTCCAATTCAATTCGAATTCCATTCCAAGGATGGTTATTTTTCAATTCCAAATCAGAAAGTCTAAATTCCAATTCAATTTATTTTAAAGATTGCTGCAATTCAAATTCAATTCCAAGTAAATTGGAATTACACATTTAATTGGAATTGACCCCAACCCTGGAATCCAGTCTATTTCCGCCATTGCATGTACATGTTCCACATCATCAGACATGATATCACAGCCTACTTGTGTCGTAGTAAATATATAATGTTATAGCTTGGTCTGACTAAAATCTTGTGCATGACCCATCTTGTGTTGGGCCTTTGTATTTAATACAATGCACAAAGACTTCTATCTTGTCGGCCTTATCAGCAGGTGGCTATGGACAACACCCACGCCATAGGTCTCTCAGTTCTCCCAACTCACGAGTTCTTGCTCTGAGGACATACACACACACACCCCCACACACACACACACATACACACACACACACACACACACACATCATCATTGTTAAACATACACACACATACACACACACACACACACACACACACACATACACACACGCACACACACACACACACACACATCATCATTGTTAAGCACACACACACACAAAAACCCCCTTCTCTTAGGCTGAACATCTGAAGACAGAGAACCCGACTCAGAGCCAATGCAACAGTGACACTAGCCTGGAGGTGACCTCGCCCAACTCATCAGGACCAATCAGAAGATCAGAACTGCTAGAATCAACCTACTTCATTTTATTGTATAAAATGTCAGCACACAATGTTTAGGGGCTCGCTCTCAGATATCTCCCTACGAGATTGACGAACGGGTCCGTGCACGCTATTTACAGATATCTTTACCTCTGAATAAACTGCCTTATATTATACAATTATCCACCTTGTCCGAAAGTCTCTACTTGGTCTCCGTTCTCCAGTAAACTTGTGATCATCAACACTTGCCATTTCCCACAGTTAGGAAACCTCACCATATCAGTCAAGCCACAGAGGCTACACTGTTTAAACACAAACCTGTAAAGGCAGGTACAGTGGGGTCCAAAATTATCGACACCCTTGATAAAGATTAGCAAAAATGACTGTATAAAATAAATAATTCAAATAGTGAGCTATATTGTATGCTCCAAAAAATTGGGAAATTATATTATTTTATACTAATACAATTACTCAGAGAAATAGATTTTGTTTAACAAGTAATACTTTTTTTCTCAAAAAGGTAGGGGTCAAAATGATTGACACCCCTGTTTTCAATACCTTTCAATGCCTCACCTTGCGAGGATAATGGCATTGAGCCTTTTTCTTAAATGTTTTATGAGTAGGATGTTTATGAGCTTACTTGTAAGTAAGCATTTCACTGTAAGGTCTACAATTGTTGTATTCGGCGCATCTGACAAATAAAATGTGATTTGATTTGATTTGGGAGCGATCTTAGACCATTCCTCCATACAGAATCCTTACAGATCCTTGATATCCTTTGTCTGCACTTATGGACTGCTCTCTTCAATTCAAACCACAGGTTTTCACTGGGTTTCAAGTCCGGAGACTGAGATGGCCATTGCAAAATGTTGATTTTGTTTGCAATTCATAATTGTTTTGTGGATTTTGATGTGTGCTTGGGGTTATTGTCTTGCAATCAAGTTTCAGCCTCCTGGCAGAGGCAACCAAGTTTTTGGCTAAAATGTCCTAGTACTGGGTAAAGTTCATGATGCTGTTGACCTTAACAAGGGCCCCAGGACCAGTGGAAGCAAAATAGCCCCATAACATCATAGATCCAGCACCATATTTTACAGTAGGTATGGGGTTATTTTCTGCTCAGGCGTTCTCATTTAGACAAAAAACCTACCACTGGTGTGCGTGGCCAAAAAGCTCTATTTTCATGTCATCCAACAAATGTAAAATGCCTGGAGTTTGCTAAACGGCATTGGCACTTGGATTGGAACCAGTGCTTTGGTCAGATGGCATGAAAATAGAGCTCTTTGGCCACGGACACCAGTGGTGGGTTTGGAGTCAAAATGAGAATACATGAGCAGAAAAGTATTTGAATTGTTTATTTTATACAGTCATTTTTGCTCCATCTTTATTAAAACGTGGTAGCCACCAGACCAAAACAGCTGAGAAATTTAGCCTTGCGCTCCAACGCTCTTGGTTGTTGCCGAAATTGACCCACTATGCTGTTTACTTTGTGCAGCTACATCATATCGCTGACTAACTAGTTTAGTAAACTGAGTAATGCATACATATTCACCTCCTTATAACACACATTGTAGAATAACATTTCCTAATTAAATCACACTGTCAGATTATGAGGTTTATTTATTATTTCAAGGATCTGTGCTCTTTTGCACCACGAAAATGTCGCCCGATGTGTTATATACATGATGTATTATACACATTTTAATATTAGATACAATCGCACTGTGTAAACATTCATGAATATGAATCTGAAGGCAGTACCTGCACTGCACACCTACACAATTATTTCCCCTAGATCGCGCCATTGTAGAGTGGAGCTAAACAGGTTATCAGGGCTGTGTCAAATATCTTTCCAGCCTACTGCTTACTAAATGTACTAAAGATGCTTTATACTATTTAGAACTTACTATTTAGTATGTGGTGTCGAGAAAACAATGCTTATTATGCTGTGAGAACAAGGAAATCCGCTGACACTGTCCTCGATTATAATTCTTTATTACATTTGAAGATCTCAGCGCCAATTTACAGATATCTGCCGATATCTGGAGAATAACCGGCTCCAATCTGTAATATGTTATTCTCCCCGTCCTCTGTTTTAACCCATAGTATATATCCTATGTAACCTGATATGGGTGTTTTCCCTACAGACCAATCCCAGGACTCCACCTAACAGACTTCCTCGGCATTAGGGTGCCCCTATAGAACTACTCTCCAGATGCTCCCTTTAAGCTTAGTCAACATCCTCTAAGACCATTTGCAACCATTAGCAAAGTCATAAAGGCTCCTTAACAGCTTTTACCCCCAAGACATAAGACTGCTGAACAGTTAATCAAATGGCCACCCGGACTATTTACATTGACACCCTCCCCCCTTTGTTTTTACACTGCTGCTACTCGCTGTATATTATCTATGCATAGTCACTTTACCCCTACCTACATGTACAAATTACCTCGACTAACCTATACCCCAGCACATTGACTGTACCGATACCCCCTGTATATAGCCTCGTTATTTTATTAAATGTGGTTTTACTTTAGTTTATTTAGTAAATAATTTCTTAACGCTTTCTTGAACTCCTTTGCCGTCTTGGGTTTCTCTCTTTGCTCAGGTGAATCGTTTTCCATTACCTGTGGAGCTGTAGCTTTTTAATGTTTAAGTCCTCTGTAATTAGGCTTCTATTTTTATATTTACAGATCATGTAAAGCCCTGAACACACAAAGCTGTTAAGCACATGGTGTTCACACTGGTGTTCCATGCCTCTGGAATCAATAGGACATATACTTGTTCCACACACACAGCCATTCTATCTACATGGCACTACACATATAATTGAGTCTATCAATGTTATGTCCCATGACACTTTAGGGAGAAGGCAAATTGCATTGATGATGAAACTGTTCCCATTTAAAGCACAATAAAGACAAGAAACGTATATATACAAAAAATATGTGGTTTGATCATCACCTGACATGAATGAACATTAGTGAACAATGCTTACTGTATGTTTTAAAAAAGTGTGCATAAATCAAAACACCAAACCAATTTCACAAATTTAAAAAAAGACAGTTTTGTTGTTCTTTATGCCACATATGTACACAATTTAGTCAATGTAAATCAATCTGACAATGCAACAAAGTTTTTTGAGTGGTGTCAAACAACAGCCTAGCTATCCTACCTCCAGTATTTTGCTCTAGCTGAGCATGATGAGTCCAGGGATGAAAAAGCAGAGGCCAATCTGGCCCGGCCACATCAGAGTACAGATATGCACCTCTCTTTGTGGAACATGAATACCAACAACAAGTTGGGCCGGGAATCAATCCGATCACGCTTTGTCTGTAATGCACATTTTAAAGGCAATGTTCTCGTGTTTGTGGAGACCATATTCATGGTAAAAGCTGTGTATGTCAGCTCAATGGGAAATTACCTTTAAATATCTCATTGTCCAAATCTAGGATCAGATTGAATCCCGGCCTAAGTTGGTGGTGGATGAAGTAAAATTCCCCACTTATCATGCATACAGTTTAAAGATTTTAGACGTAGTGAAACCTGTTTAGACCATCCATTCTAATTGTTATGGAATAGGTTAGGTAGTTTAGTTAGTAGGAACACAATTAGACACTACACTACCATTTCCACACTGCATCCCCAGGTGGCAGCAGCAACCGGGTCAGATGCTCTGCCAGGAAGCCTTGTTAAGGGTTGATTGTGCACAGGGGTGGAGTCAAACAGTGTGGCAGCTTGCAGAGCTTTGAGGCTGCTGGTGTTTGATGGCCTTTTGAGTT